TACGGTTCACTCATCTATTTTTCAACATGTACCTTTTTTATCGGAAAAACAAGTAACACTCCCCATAATAGACTATTATGGGGAGTGTTACTTGTTTTTCCGATAAAAAAGGTACATGTTGAAAAATAGATGAGTGAACCGTAACCGAAGAAAATTCCCTGATTTAGTTTCAAGTGGCAAGACGCGTAAAACCGGAAAATTTTCTTTCCTTTAACCCGCCCCGAATCAATATTTTTTACCTCAACCCGATCCGACCCGTTTCGGACTCTGGTAGATATAACTGATTGCACATGCCGATGTAAGTGTGTGTGATATATAATAAATATAATATTCTTTGCTTAATGCGCTTTAGTATTCTAACTGCATCACACTTGCGAGAATAATTGTATTTTTAAGTATTCAATAAATGAACATGACGAAAATCGTGTCAAGTACTAGAATCAATTGACAAACAATTGTGTTTCATTCGTTTTTGTTATTAAATATTTTTTTGCATGTTGTAATGAAAAAGAAAGAAAAGCAACACTTTGCTGCACCGTTTTGTGCCACTTAAACATAGAAGTAAAACTAACACGATAATCGAATGTTTATTTATTATTTTTTTTCTTATCGTCGATATTTACTGTTTTGTTTTGCTTAAATCAGTTGAATAGAGATTTTGAATATCGCACAAGTTTTTAACTTTATATTAATATTATTTAATACAAAATTGACTAAAATCTTATTGTGTGACAGTCGCATCTATAAATATTTTTTCAAATGAAATTGATGATATCGTCGATTAGTATTACCATTTTGTTAATAAAGTGAGACGTTTGAATTTCATATTATTAATATTGAATATCTGCCAAATTACATTATCTTTTTTTAGTAAAATCTAACTTATTTTCCATAAAATAGTGGGAGTTTTCTGTAGAAAAAATGGTGTAGATATATCCAACGTCAATCAATTTGTATTTTTTTTCTAAATATTTATTGTGTTACTTAGTAGTTCAACGACAAGAGTTGAAATTTGAAGGTGAAGTAGCTAATTATGCAGGAACATTTTTTTTTCTTCTTCTCGGTTTTTTTAATGATTAAAAATCTTAGAATTAAAAATTTTTTTTTCAGGAATGCAACTGTTAAAATGACTTGTTCAACCAGTAGTCAAGGAAGTTTATCTCAAGATGAAATTGGAGATGAATCATTTGTTGATGAAAGTAAACAAGGTATGAAGAATGTTATTTTTTATTTATTAGAAAAACTGTATTAATTTAACATATTTTTTATATTTTTTAGCTGATATTCATATGAGTATTAGTCCAACAAATTTGGATGTAATGAAAAAATCAAATTCATTTTTTACCGAAAATTATGAAAATTTAGATGATCAAAGACCAGAAAATAATTATAATCATATTGTTGGTGAACATGAAGATGATGATGTAGAAGAAGAACAGAATACAGAAGAAGATGATGATGAAGAACAACAACAAAAACTTGAAAGACGAAAAAGTTTATCAGCAAGATTTCGATCAACATCAAAAGAAATTAAGTAAGAAAGGTATCAATTAAGACATATCATCATTGTTATATGAATCTTTATTTTAGTTCTTTTGAACATGTACCTGTACAACCACCGTTAACAAAACATACTCGATCTCAAATAATCGCAACTGAACCGAAAACATCATTTAAATCATTTAATTCAACAAGAAAAAATCGAAGTATGTTTAAATTCAGATTTTTTAGAATAGAAAAACACAATTTTAATTTATTATAGCATTTGACATTATGATAATACCTGAAGAAAGTAATATATTTAGTTTAGAAAAATAAACAACGTACTTACGCTTGTGTAGAGATGTATACGTACGCTTTACATATTTCAATGGTCTCGTGTGATTTAGAATATTTCATATTTAAAATAATTAACAACTAAGAGAAAAGAAAAAAAGAGTTTTATTTTTTTTGCATTTGATGAGTTTTTAAATGACTTTTTTAAAGATTTACGATTTATAAATATCTTGAGTTATAAACGTGTTTATAAACACTTTTCCTATAGAAAAATAGTTAGAAAACTTTTTTGAGTTTTAAATGATTTATAAATCACTCATTTATAAACGCATCAATGAGTTTTTGTCTTTTATAATCATCAATATTTATGTTGTAAGTATTTTTTTATATGAATTATGAGAGACGAAGATCACTAGGATTTTACCAGATATATACAAATATATTTGTAGTAAATTAGTTAAAAATTGTGAGACATAACAAAGTTTAAATAGTCCGTTACACAAAGTCAAATGTGCATCTGTTAATTTCTGTTAGTTCAACTAAGCGTATGTTGTGTGTAGAATTAGAAATATATTATTTTTTTGTCAATTATATTAGTCGATTTTCTTTTTTATTAAACATTTTTTTCAATATTGCTTCATTTGTTATTCACAGGTTCTCGTGCTCAATCAGAAGATCGTTTTCGTTCATCGACAGTTTCCTTATGTGAATCAATTCCGTCATATGCCGCACCAACGGCTAGTTCTAAATTAAAAGCAAATTCTATGAGTGAACAACCAACAACAGCCACTGTCTCTTCCAATATATCTTTTTCTTCTTCTTCTTCTTCTTCTTCAACGATTATACATCAAGTTCGTCGTGCTCCATCCGTTGTTTCTCTTCAAACCGCAACTGATTCTTCTTCTTCTCGACCATCATCAGCTAAAACATTAACAAACAATAATCAATCATCATTAGATCTTTGTAAAAAATCTCGTTCAACACAAAATTTATCTCAATTATTAACTTCTTCCTCGACAACAACTACAATTGCAGCCACCTGCTCATCTTCATCTACAACAAATGTAAGAGAAGAAACAACAACAACAGTAAAAACCAAACCGTTAACATTAAAACAGGTACGAGAAACATCGAATGCCAATAGTTGATCGAACAATTAACATTAGTTTCACGAGTTTTGTCTGACTTTTCTTAATAGTTTTCGTTTTTTTTCTTCATAATTTTAGATTAAATTACAATCTCAACAACAAATTCGTCGTTTCAAAGGAAAACGGCCGCCAAATTTACCAACATCATCAACTTCGCCACCATCAAATCCACCAGCACAATCATCGTCCACCTCTTCATCGTGTACATCATCACCAACAAAAAATTTGGAAAATTTACAAAAAGAAAAACGACCAGTTTCACCTAGATTTTTTCCACCACCACCTTGTCCATTACGTGAATTAAACGATCAACAACATCAACCGTCAACACCAACAAATTGTTTTTCATCATTAGATATTCCAAAATGGGCCAAAGATTGTTTATATCGAACAATTGTACTCGGTCTATCTCCACTTGTTATTAAAGGTAGAGTATCATTAATAAAACCCAAAAGTATGCAGAAGTCTCATTTTGAAATATTAGTAATTAAATTGTTGCTTAAAAAAGTTTAAAAGTACTGATTCAATACTATCCCTACTTAAACTCTATTAGTTGATATATAGCAATTTGAAAGGGATAAGGAGAAATAGAAGGAAGAATTAGACAAACAATATGCTTACTAACTTATCACCATTATTTGAGTCTATCTCTGATGGTAAAAAATTAATCTTTATCTGTCTATCGATATATACCATAGTAAATTTTTGCTTTTCTTTTCTTCAGATTCTTGTCCATCATCATCAATGACTGAAGATACGATAACAAATAATAGTCCATCAGTGGTACTCACTCCTCAAATTCCTCGTTCAACAAGTATTTGTTCAATCGAAAGTACCGATTCATTGGAGACGACAAGTGAAGCACCACCTTATCAGCCTGCATTTAATAATGATCAAAATCAAAATGATGGTGAACTACGAGTTCGACGAAGTATATCGATACCCGACTATCGACATTTACAACATCAAAAAGAAGATCATCAATATCATTTACGATTTTCATCATTACCCATAACAGCAACAAAATTTGACAAAAATAATAATAAAGATAATAATTATTCAAGTCATAAAGAGGAGTAAATATTATTATCAAATATTTAATGTATTTTGTGAGTGTCTCATTTTTCTTTTGCATTAGTGATGACGATGTATCTGATACTGATTCGTACAATTATATTGATGGTAAATATTTTGCTGTGAACGAGAAAGTAGAGAGCTAGTTCATTAGTGTATTATTCCTTAATTTTTTGGATAACAGTGAAGTGTAATGAAATTGAGAATTAAGAGAAATTCATTTTTTTTTCTAGACGATCGTCTTCGAAATATTGTCGGTGATTTACATAATCGATTAAGTCAACTTGAGCAGTTATATGCTACAGTAAATATATTTCTAATGACATAAGAAATTTTTAATATTTTGAAAATTTTTTATTTAGGTATCCAAAAGTAGTGAATCTCGTGATATAATGCTTAAAAATTATATTGAACAAATATTTACCGATCTTCATACACGCATAACCCAACAAAAAACATCCTCGACGATCGAAGCAACAACGACGACTTCAGAATGTTAATGTTTTATGTCCTCAACAGAAAAAAAAAAAAATTGTTAGAATAGTTTTGTTTTTCTTTCTCTCTCCGGTTCTTGTTCCCGGCGGTGATCGTGACATTAAATGTTTGTTTTTTTGTTCTATTTTTTTTTCTTATTTAGTTTATCATTCAGGGATTCAGATCAAAACATTTTTTTTTTGTTTTATTATTGCTCAATTGTTTGTCCCTATTTTATTGTTATTGCATTTTTATTTTAATCAAAGACACGTGCAAATGAATGAGCTTTTCTGTTTGTTTGTTTGTTTTTTATTTTGTGTATAGACTAGCTGAAACCATGACCGTTCTTTTGTTTTTTTTCTCACGCTGTCTTCTTCATTCAATGATTTGAGTGTTACTGGTTCAATCATCGTTGGTAGTGCCATAGACGATCAACAATTTCTTATCAATCTTCTGTTATGTATATACGATGTATTTCTTGAAAACATGACATATACACACACATTAACTTTTGGGCTTTCATTTTTGGCGTGTCTTCCAGAATATTATTTTTTTTTTGTTTGTGCATTCTATTGAACTATGTAAAGATATTTTCTTTTTGTGCGCACATTTCTTTGTTATATACGATGTATTTCTTGTTATTTTTATTTTTATATACATCTATTTGTTTAAAATGTGTAGGTTATATGTGTAAAAAAAAAATAGATGAAAAACAGATCGAATAAACTATTACAGATAAGCAAAGTTTTTTAATTAAAGGCGACTACGACTTTCATGATAATTTTTGACCCCAGAACGGGATATATGTAGGTTTGTACAGGAAGACTTCCTCTATCTAGTGGTATATATATTATCAAATTCTGTTGCGCACCGTGAGAGAAAATTAAAGGTAACCCCTCTCTTTTTACACTTTTTTAGAAATATTTTTTATTTTTGAGTTAAATATTGTACATTATAGAGTAAAGTGTTCTCTACAAAACAAGACCACTTCCAGCTCTCTAAGACCTTTCGTTGAGGAGATATAAATTTTTTAAAGTTTGTTACTTTATTCTGAAAAAACCCTAGTTTCTTACTTTCGAAACTCTTTCCTCTTTCGTTCAGTACTTGATAAACTTTTGAAACAGTCAGTCTGGTAGAGTAAAGATTTTCCCACAAAATTAGATGTATCCTAACTTTTCACCATGTTTTCTGATAGAGTTATGATCATTTTGTTGGAAGTCTTTGAAAAAGTCACATTTGTGAGACACCGTCCAAAATGATCATAACTCTATCAAAAAACATAATGGAGAGCTGGGAGACATCTCATTTTGTAGAGAAGCCTTTACTTTATAAGCGTGACTGTTTCAAAAGTTTATCAACTACTGAATGGAAGAGAAAAACGTTTCGCAAGTAAAAGAGTAGGTTTTTTTCAGCGTAAAGTAACAAACTTTAAAAAATTTGTATCTCGGCTTGTCCAAACGTAACGGTGTTACGTTTTGGACGCACTAAAATGAAATTATCTCGGAAACTAAAACAGTTAAAAAGCTCATTTAAACGCCATTCGATGCAGCTCGCCGACCCCTATTTACGGTATAAAAACGAAATTTTTTGCATGAAGTCTCGAATTTTGAGAACGGTTTTTGTAGGCCGTAACGGTGTTACGAAAAAAGACCCTTTTTTTCGAGTGCTATCAACAAAAACGTGAATTTCGACAAAGGTAAAGGTCATAATGAAAAGTTTTTAGCACAGAAATTGTAGAGCATCAAACGGGTTATCCGATGGTAAAAAAAGAATTTTCCCAACATCTTCAGTTAAGGCAAAAACATCAAAACATGTTACGTTTTTCGTAACGGTGTTACGCACTATTTTTGTCGAGTGTTTTCGAGGGACTTAACATGATCAGAAGATTTTGATATTATACAGATAATTATTCGTGCCACAGTCAGCCGATATACGCAAGAATAAAGTCGCTACCTCGGGTTGGAGGGTCAAAAACTGTAAATTAAGTCGGAAGATGTACAAATATGTACAAATTTTCTAAAGGGCTGAAGCTCAAAACCAAATACGGCATTTTGTAGAGAATTAAATTATCTACAAAACCATATGTTCAGAAATTTATTTTTCGAAAACTATCTCGGCTAAAAATAGAAAATGCGATTTTTGAAATGTTCAAAAACCAATTTTTATGAAAAAAGCGTTTTAAACGGGTCCTTAGAATTAAAAATTACATCTAGTGATGTGTTCAAAATTTTCGAAAGCGAAAATTTTTTTTTTATAAACTTGATCAGCGAAGTGTCGCGTTACGTGGACAAGCCGATCTCCTCAACGGAAGGTCTTGGAAAGCTGGAAGCGGTCTTACTTTGTAGAGGACACTTTACTCTATAATGCAGAACATTTAACTCAAAAATTAAAAAAATTTCTAAAAGAGTCTAAAAAAAGAGGGGTTACCTTTAATTTTCTCTCACGGTACGCAACAGAATTTGATAATATATATACCACTAGATAGAGGAAGTCTTCCTGTACAAACCTACATATATCTCGTTCTGGGGTCAAAATATCATAGTCGCCTTTGAACAATATCAAGAATTTTATCTGAAAGAAGAGTGATGATGAGATCCAGAAATAAGTGTACAAAATATTATTACTTAGATACAATCGAAATTATTATGATATAGCGGTTAGAACGCCAATTATGAGTACCACATCACTGCTAACTCTTCGATTTTCTCCTATTCAAAGCGCAGTAATAACGAACAAAATTCTTGGTATATTTTAATTGAAATAAAATACTTTACGATAGTAATAACCTACATGGACGGGTCGGAAAACGTGTGGATGAAGGACAGTACCTTTCTAGGACACCGTGTACGTAATTGTTTCAACAAGAATTTTTGCTTTTTTATTTCGACTTTTAGGAAAATATACGTCTGCAAAATATAATTCTTCACAGATGGTGTTTCTCAGGATGGCAACTCATTGATAACATAAGAATGTGTGATGATGCCAAAGACAATATATAAAAGAGACCAATAGAACACGATTTGGCTTTTCAATTTTAATCAATCAGATCTAAGTAGGGTTATTTCATCAAAAAGTTCTTCCATATGGCTAAGAATTTAAATTCACAACTATACATCGAATGTATTGAAAGTTATTGATGTCAGATTATCAAAACAGGCAAAAACTTTTTTAAAAAATATCGCACATTATTTTAACTTCAATTGTATAAATAAAAGAAACAAGTCGACAATTCGATTTGACGAAATGATTTCAACTACAAATACTAAAAATTCTTCTAGTCTGCATCATTCAAAAAAAAGTGAGGAGATGAGGGTGAGCTTCTAAAGCGCCAACAACCATAGTATGACGTTCGAAAAAATGTTTTCCAAAAAAAAGTCTTTCTACCGATGAAAAACAATACATTTTTAAATAGCGGGAGAGTACGTAATCTATCCTAGAGTACGTAATGCATCTTCTGCACTTTCTGCAATAATAAAAAACAAAAAAGAATGTTTTGGTCTGAATTCCTGAATGATAAACTAAACAAGAAAAAAAATAGAACGAAAAAACAAATATTTAATGTTACGATCACCGCCGGGAACAAGAATCGGAGAGACAAAGAAAAACAAAACTATCCTAACATACTTATCCTCGGTAAATATCGCAAAGATATTTCGATATTTATATTTATTAAGGGCCCCTCTTCAGAAATTATCTCCGACACCGTACATCCGATCTTGACGAAATTTTCCATAAATGTTAGGCACAATGAGCTACAGAAATGAAAAATTTTTTTATCTCCAAGCCTTACGATTTAGGAGTTTTCCAGAGATCAAGATCCAAAGAAAGGACCCTAAAGTGTGTCCCAAGATTTTTTAATATACTTCAGGCTGGAGAGTTCGAGTTTGTTTTATTTTAAACTAGACACCTAACTACATGGACTGACCGGCGCCGATTTTTCAATTAAGCCTTTATTGATTTTCCGGGAAACTAACAATCTCCAAAAGCCGAAAATTTCTTTTGCGTTTTCTAAAAATCCTCAGTTAGACAAAAAACTAAGACCTAATTCAAAAATTGACGCCGGTTAGTTCATGTAGTTTCTTTTCCTCTTTTAAACAAAAAAAGAATGAATTCTCTACGATCAACCGCTATAACCTCTACGTAGAGAAAACGCTGTATTAAACGCTATGTAAAATGCTCGGTTTTAGGACTTCTCAGAAAATGCCTGTAACTTTTTGATGGAAGGTCATACAGAGTTGTGCGAGGTCTTATTTTGATCCGAAACGTTTGCTCTACAAATCTGTGTGTTCAGAGAATTTTTAATTTTAATTGCATAAGTATCCAGGAAAAACTATTATTTGACGACCTGGTTTTTCGAGGCTCCTAGAAAACTTGCTCAGAATCTGTGAAAAACCACTTTTGTAACCAAAAGCAATACAGATTCTGAAAGTCGACGCTTCAGACTATCTTTCCATGTGCGTATCTGAAAACCGATTTTTTCGGAGAGGGGGCCCTTAATTTAATTTAAATTGATATTAAAATGATTTTCTTCAAAGAGAAATCAACTTACCTTAGGTTTTCGAAAAAAAAACATTCATCCCCATTCATTTTACCATCTCTACATCATGCACAGCATTTATTGGTTCGATTAGAAAAGACAAAGCATTGACATAGTTCAAAAATCAATGTTCGATAGTTGCAACATTAGTATTTACTAACATCACTGCTAACAGAATGCCAACCCTAGTGAATGCACTTGAATTTAGGTACCGAAGCACTTTGGCTGCCACACGCCAAGTATATCTAGTATCCATGATATTATTTGGATGTACCTAAAATTACTTGTTAGGTACTTTAATACTTGGCTGAGGCTAAAAGAAGTACCCTGAAAGGTATCTAAATACTTTTTCTTGAGGAAGCCAAGTACCTATGACTACTGTAGCATATTTACTAGGAAAAACATTCATGATCAATCTGGTACGTAGCCATCGTTCTGGTTTTCACCTAATAAATGACATTAAATATTTAATCACGTTTTTTTATACACATTGACTGAGATAGTTCAAGATAAGTTCATAAATTTGAAATTCTTGATGAAATAATATATTGATTACTATGACTGCACAGCTGTAAGAATCTCTTTACATTTTAGCGATTAGATAGAATACACAGTAATGAATTATTTTTTACAACTCGAAGTTCTCAGCAATGTGAAAGAAAAGTGTGCGAATAAATAAATAAACAGATAAATCTATTCTTTAGCTGTGTAAGTCATTGAGAAACTTGATAATTGACAGGATGGATTATCTAGTGTTTCGAAAGACTCTAGAAAAACTTACCCTCCAAAATCTTTTTTTTTTTATGTAGTTTTTGACTCGATCCATATGTCCTTCGTAAAGTTGATTAAGTAAAGGATAGAGCCTGAACATTATCACTAGTTTTTATGAATAACGATATCTTCGAAATATTATTCTATGAAAAAAAATATACAATTGATTCCTAAGCGTAACGCATTTATCAGCCTTCAAAGTAATTAATACTTCAAGCTAATATTTTTATTCAGTTTTAAGACTTTTCTCTTCACTAAAAATGACGATACGATAAATTTTTTTTCAATCTAAATTTGACATGGTCTCATATGAATTAATTATTTGCTACACAATTTAAACTTTTTGTTTAGAAATTATGTTTTAATTTTTAGTGCTGCTTGCTACAGGTAAAAAAAGAAATTGAACTTATTTTTTTTTACTTTGTGAAATTTTTTTTGACATTGTACAATGAACAATCAGATGAATTAAAATGTTTTCTCTTAAATGAGATATTAATTCTAAATAAAACAATCGAAAGAATTGAGAAATAGCTATTTTCTGATGAGTATCACCGTCTATGTCGTATTTCAAGTATTTTAATTTTTTTTTCTTTTATTAAGAAAATGTTTTCAACCAAAAGCATTTGATATAGAAAGCCAAAATGTTTATTATAATTAAAATAGACGTAATTTTTGCAGTGAATTTTTGATTTCTTCTAAATTATATATTTACTTTTTATCAGACAGAATTTTTTAAAAAAATATATCAGAGAAAAACATTTCATTTTTTGTTTCATACATTAAATTTTCATCTACTAATACAATTTAAATTTTGATAACATAAAAAATTTATTATTTAATTATAAAAATTTCATCTTTCAAAATATCAAGGGCTTCGAAAACGCTATTTGAATGTTTAATTATTTTTGCTATTATGTTTATCTATGTAGTTGCTATATGAGACAAAGAAACAATATCAGATATTAATTCATATTTTTTTTAATAATAACAAAAAATTTAGTTGGCTCCTTCATTTATTATCATTTTTTTGTTCACGAATAAAAGATAAAACTTGATAAATAAAAAACACAAAAAAAATGAAACAATGAAATAAATTTAAAAAATACAATATTTTAATTTTTTATTTACACATTTTTACTTTTTATTTTTGACCATTCATTCTCTCACTCTTTCACATCGATATGATCCATTGAAGAATAAGTTTTATTCACAAATCCACCATCAACGGATTCCAAAACATTCAGTTTTTGATCAAGTGCAGATGGTGATGATTGCTCGGACGGAATATCGATCGGCGATTGCTACAAACAAAAATTAATAAAAATATTTTATAAACATTTAACGTATGACTATGATTATTTTCAGAATTACAGTACGAGCACATATTATATGTCCAACAAATGATAATTAATTCAAAAAAATGTCTCACTAATTTGCATATGAAATCATCATTTTTCGTATTTGATGTAATAATTATTTGAGCTTTCAGAATAACGACAGATTTTTTGATATACACTGGTTTTTTGTTTGAATATTCTCATAAATTCCATAAGAAACATAGTTGAAAAATAAAAATGTACTACAAAGCAGTACGGTAGATTTGAACTTTCAAACAAAATGTATTAGTGTAACGGGTACATCAGTTAATCAATGTAGATTAAAATTCGATTTATTTTTTATAAATTTTATAAATCTATTGTTCAATCATTGATTCTACGAGCAATAAAAACTAGAGTACTAACAACCAGGAGCAAACGACACAAAAAACAAAACATGAACAGCTTTACCCAGAGTAGTGGTCAATGATCTAATTGCAGATGATTTGTACAAACCGTTTAGAATATATTATTATTATTCAAAATTTAATACTAAAAAATTAATGATATTCTCTTATTTGAGTAGACACACTTATGACAGTATACATGCAGTGAAAATGATTGTTATTTACTACATTTAATACACAAGAAATAAAAATAAATTTCAATAATACCACTATATTAACGAAGAAGTCGTCTTCGATCATGACCGGACGATGTTGATTCCTGGAAGAGGAGTGCAATATTGAACAAAAATATAAATCCTGTCATATTTTTTTTCTTTTTTTTTTTTCTCTAGCAAGAAAAGATGACAATTAGAAATAATTCACTTACTTTCAATTCTCGTCCTCTTGTCTCAATTGGTAATAAAAATGCACAAAACGCAGCCATGCCGGTAGCTATCGTATAAACAAGAATTGTGCCAATAAATGTATGTTTAATTAAAACTTGAGCAAGAAAAGGTGTAATCATTGCACCAACACGAGCCATGGATGAAGCTGAACCAACAGCAATGGCACGAACAACTGTTGGATAAACCTTTTAAGATAAATAAAAAATATTCAAATTTATTAATACAAGTCGTGTAAAAAAACATACACCGATGACCTACTTCCATTGTATACAAATACAAGAGACTAAATTGGCTATTAATAAACATTCGTGCCAAAAATGTGATTGTATTAATTGCCCAATGTGTATTACGTGCAACAAAAAGTAGCGAAAAACAAATTGATGCTGATGTAAAATTAATCACAGACACGGCACGACGGCCAAATTTTGATAAGAGAAGTAATAACAATGGAATACCTTAAATAAAAGACAATCAGAACATAGTTATTAGACATTGGACATCCATTTAATTACTCACCGGCCATTTCTCCAAATGTTGTAAGAATCAAAGATTTATAATCATTATCCGTTAACATTTTACAATTTTCTTTTGATGTTGATGGCACATCTAGAAAGTCAAGAAAAAAAATAAGAATGTTTTTAATGAGAAAGTAGAAATAAAATGCATTTACCAACATTCATTGTAAATATGGATGTATTAATTAAAATTAGTCCATAATAACTCATGGCTACTGTTATCCACATAAATGTTAATAAAAATGTTGTACGTTTATAATTGAAATGAAACAACTGACTGAATGATCCGCATTCTTCCTAAAATTACAGTAATAATTAGAAGAGACTAACTTTCGATATTTTATGTGTCTTCCTTACTTTTATATGGCCATCTAATATTTTTCCTGGTGGTAATGCACGTTTGTTTGTCAATGCAACTGTTTTAAGAATCATTTCTGCTTTGTCTGCATTTCCACTTGCTAAATAATATCTAGGCGATTCTGGTATAAACTAGAACAAAAAAAAGTAAAAAATGGTAATGATCCCAGTTTTAGATTCAAATCTCAATTGATACTTACATACATACATACGGCTACAATTGATATTGGTAAAGCTGATAAAATTGTTAATGTTCTCCATCCATAGGGTGGTATAACGTACATAGCCATTAAATATTCTAGAATAGCACCCAAAGACCAAAATAATTCAATAACTATAACGATTGTAGCACGATATGTCGATGGTAGAAATTCTAACATTAATGTAGCACTAAATCAAACAAAATAAAGATGTAGAAACGATCAGTTAATCAGAAGTAATTTGGCTAGACATTACCCTTGAGCCGCACCACTCAGTGCAAAACCAACACAAACTCTCGCCAAAACTACCCAATGGTAACTTGGTGAAAACGCTGTTAAAATTCCAAATGTTGTATTCAAAACGGCACTTGTTATAATGACCTATAAAATAATGAATATACTATCATAGATGACGATATTTATTTTAATTTATTTGTTTTCAACTTACTTTTTTCCTTCCGTATTTATCAGCGAGCCAGCCAAATAAGAACGCTCCACACATCATACCAAAGAAGACGCTCTAAACGAAGGTTTTCGTTCACCAGTCATTTCTGGAAGGAAAATGGTTCTAGTCAGTTTCTTTTTTTTTTTACTTTTTCTTCTTTGTACACATTGAATACCTACTGTTGTTAATGTTGCCACTTGCCATTGTGTAATGTTCCAATCACATGTTAAAGCTGGTCCCAGTATAGCCAATAACATCATTTCAATGGCATCTGACATCTATTCAACAACAAATTAATTTAACTAAAAGTTCCATGTACATCTCTCTTTCTCTCTTTTTCTCTCTAAAAACATACCGTACAAAATCCTAATATGATCACTAAACGCCATTGAAATACTCCAATTCCAATGTGATCAATAGCTGCTTCCAGGTTGTAAGCAGGACCACTTGACGAAATATCTATTGGCATAACTTCCATTGTTTGAGTTTTTTATTATTATTAATTAATTATATTTTGTTGGTTTTTATCGTTTTTCTGAACAGCAGAGTTGTTTTTAAACCGATTATTGTTTTTGAATATCAGACACCTTAAGGAAAAACAAAAAAAAAAAAATGACATAGAGTATGTATTTGGATAATATCCAGGAAAAAAATATGAACTAACTGTCGCGCAAAATAAAAAAACGTTCTACTCATACATACACTGTTATTTTTGATTTCAGCGGTTATAGACTGTTTTCAATAAAATAGAAATTGCAGATAGATTAAGTGGTGAGAAAGAAACAACAAAAAATGGAGGGAAATAAAATAGTGAATAATAAAAATAGAAAAGTAAAATGGATTCGATTCCTACAATTACATAATCAGAATTCAATCATCTAGAAAATAAAACATAATATAAAACATCTCAAACTAATCTTTAAAAACACATTCTATCAAGCTGTTACCGAAAATATATAAAATATCGAGTATTGTATAGAAAGAAAAAAGAATGTCATTTCAACTAGAAATGTGTGTATTTTTGAAACGAACAATTTTCAAGAGACACATGTACGGACGTCAAACGATCTTTTGCAGTTGTTCTATTCTATCACTGATGAGATAAGGTTCGAGCTTTCATCTCTTTTCAGAGACATTATTAGGAATGACAAGTAAAAAGGTAAAGAAAAAGCTAGTGTACATGACACGGTATTTTTTTTGCACGCTTAATGATGCAAACCGATGTGAAGATCTTTTTGCGTCCTATTAGTTTTCTGGACCGGTCGCTGTCGCACAGACGACTATATTGGAATCAGAACCGGTACAACCAGAAAACAAAATGCAAGAAAACCGGTATATCGATTTACATCTATATAGCACTCTCCTCCGCAAAATCCTGACTACTGGCCTGCTTGATCAGGCCATACTGCCCGAATAGGCAATAGGCAGACCAGAGATGGGCAACTCTAACTCTGGAGTTGAGCTTCTTTTTAGCTGGAATTGAGTTGGAGTTGCGTTTTTATTAGATTAGAGTTGAGTTAAGATTTTTTCAACTCCAACTCCACAACTTCAGTTAAAAATTTACATTTCACTACTTTCTACAGTGATCATATTAGACTTGATCGAAACAAGTCTCTCATTTTTCCTTTTCCATGTCTATTTCTTAAGAAATACACAGAAAAGAAAACGAAATCTTATGTCGACGCACTAGATTATTCTTGCTCACTTATCCACACCGTGTGTTGTCATAACCGCTGTCAGACAGTCTCAACCCGACTGTCTAATAAGGCTTCATACGCATATAAATGTGCGTAAAGTACAAATAAATGTATTATTCATATGTTGCCTGTTCTGACAAGGTATACTGTCAAAAGACCTTGTCCAAACTACCAATATTGCCAAATCGGAAGAGATACAATGGACGGTACTGAGCTAAAGTTGTTTTTTGTTTCTCCCATGAGAAAGGATGAACACATAATTTCGATACACAATGAATATATGTGTTTGAGAAGAAGAATAAACACTTTCCGTCCGTTAGAGGACCTATGGTTTCCGAGATGGTATCTTGCCTGATCGGACAAGTGACAACGGACTGTATGATAGTTCATAGAGGAAACAACTCTATCCGCAGATATTTGGATGTGCTTTAACGTATTTTGATCAATATTTTTCCAGAAAATTAGCACTTTCTGATAGAATGTGTGGAATATTTTATGAATATTAGATTATGATCGACTCAAATATTTTCAAACTTCAAGATAATGGGAAAGATCTTGATACACCATTTTACCCTCTAAACTGTAGACGTTTACACTGTTTTATTTCAAGTCTCTTGGTAGATCAAATTATAGTTTGAGTACGAAACAAGCATCAGTTCTGACATTGCGTCTTTAAATAGAATTTCACAAACTAGAGTGAAAATTATCTTATTAAATTAACTTATTCAAGCTATAGTTAAATGTTTAGACGTAACTATCATTTGGAAGATGCTTATTTGTAGTTCACTCCAGGAGAAAAATTTTCTTCGATATGTAAACATTTTTGGTTGACTATTCAAATCCTTGAGAAATCTGTGGTACGCCAATGAGAAACAGAACGGGTTGTTTCTAAATAAAAGAATGTTTATACACAAAAGGAGACAAGTAGTTGGAAAAAAATTAATTTTTTTGAGCCTAACAATAGCTACTGACATCAATTGTCCGCAAAAATGAAATTTGTTTTCAGCTTCTGAATGCAGTGATCCGTAAAATAGGTCATATGAGTTTCATTCTTGAGTACTACTTTATCTGAATTAAATTCTTACATTCTAGAGAAACGACTGTTTTTATATCCTCTAAACGAAGGTTACCTAATTTTTAATTTTATCATCTCTAAATGAAACAAACAGTAAATATATTCTGAGTCGGAAAAAGAAGAGAAATGATCATTATTCTTCCATATCTTTGCTAGAGCTGTTGTGATAGACCCATAAACAACAGAAGGTGTGGCTTTCGATTAAAATGAATGATGTACATATCTCTCATCTCTCTTTATGGTATAGTAATAAGAGTGAACGGGCATAATAAAAGACGTGTTTAGTTATTTTGTATTCGACTTTTTTTATCATTTCATTGCATGTATAAAAAGAAAGAACGGACGAAAATAAAACAAAGAAGGTCATGCGAAATATGTAACAATGATAACAACAACATAAAAAATATATGCATGATCCAGATAAAAAGAAACATTAATAACACGATCTTTATTCAAAATATATTTTAAAGTCATCTGACTAGAGTATCTTTGTATATACAGACGTGAAAAAGAAACTAAAAACATTTTTATTTAATCATGTCTCATTGTGGTAAGTTTTTTAAAAAATAGGACTTTGTAACTTGATTCGCGATACGTAATAAATTCTTTATAAATTTTTTTCAAAATTTTCTAAAGTTGATTAATTAGAAATAGACTTATAGATAAGCATTCAAAGCAAAAAACAAAGCCGTCTACTTCAGTAAAAGCATGAAAACATAATGAATCTCAAAGGAAAGAATGTCACGATAACTCAGATATGACTGAAGTTTTATTTTGTTTACTAAGTCATTTCACTTGATTTCTTGCAAGTTTAATTTGTGTGGAAAAAGCATTAAAAATAAAACATCAATCAAATTTGCAACAAAACAAATTGAGATAAAATGTACATGTATATATGACTGTTCATATGTTTGTCAATTGGGGAGTTTGCCCCAAAACTGACAGCCGCTTCTATCTAGGCTTTCTATCATTATACTTTGTTTCCACCACAGAGAGGTCTGAAAAATAAGCTTGCGGAGGTAAACTACGGATATATACTTAGATTCTCATTAAAAACGCTAATTGTTAGTCATTCAAGGTTAAGATAATCTAAATTGAAAATGATGCCAACAACGTGTACGTACGAACATTACTGATCTAGACATCATCTTAGCTTATTTTGATCTTGAATGGCTAACAACTAGCATAGTCAGTCACCCAAGTAACAATTTTTAGTCAGAATGATAGATAAAAGGCGGTTATTTACTTTTCTGGCCAACTGGCTACTAAACTGACTAAAATTTCGGCCTTAACTAAAAACAGTAAGACTGGAATGGAATGAAATGTAGACAAGATATAGAATTGACTGAACATTTCTTTTTGGTCAGTCATGTGTCTGTCATCCTTCCAGTCTTCCAGCTTTTAACGAAGGTTGAAAAAATTTCAAACCATCGCAATGAATACAAGAATGAGAAAAATAGGTGAGCAGGATTAGTAAAAAAATACAGGATTGGTTGCATGAATAAACCAATGAAAAGTATGCCACAAACGACAGACTGTTTTTCTATATGATATAAACTTGTGGCGTTCCCAGTATTTTAACGAAATCTGTGCTGAACCCTTTTAAATACAACTGATGAATTGTACAAACTTTTCGCGAAACGTTGTTAGCGAAAAGTGAGTAAAATAAACTTTACTGAAAGGTAGATTTCTTGGTTTATCTATTAAAAGTCAGAACCGTTTCAAACAAGGGTATACATCTCTTTCTATTTTCTGCTCTTAGTGAATGCATCAATTCGTCGTTTATTAGTTCATCATCGATCAACAGTTACACGTTTATTTCAAAGAAATGTTCAACATCAATCGAGCACTACACAAAAGTCTTCCACAAATATTTCTGATTCAAATCCAGCGTATGATTTTGTTCGACGTCACTTAGGACCAAATGAACAACAGACGAAAGAAATGCTCGACCTACTTGGACTCAAAGTAAGACAATCACACTCAGATTGTTAATTCACTATATGAATGGTGAATATATTTAGAGTTTAGAGGAACTTACCGAACGTACGGTTCCAGCATCTATTCGTTTTCAAGGAACGATGCATATACCAGATGCTTTATGTAAGTTAATATCTTTGTCTCTAGTACAGCATCATAATGATTTTTGTATTTTAGCTGAGCATCGTGCATTGAAAGAAGCTGAAGAAATCTCAAACCAAAATTCTGTATGGCGTTCGTATATCGGTCTTGGCTATAACGATTGTATTATACCAACCGTCATCCAGCGAAGTTTATTCGAAAATCCTGGCTGGTACACTCAGTATACACCGTACCAAGCAGAGTTATCACAAGGTCGATTAGAGAGTCTTCTAAATTATCAAACAGCTGTTAGTGATTTAACTGGATTACCATTTGCTAATGCATCGTTACTCGACGAAGGAACAGCTGCAGCTGAAGCACTGGGAATGTGCATTAGGTAAATGATCAAAGAAAACGGCATATTTTTTTTAAACAAAGAATATTATTTTATGTAGGCATAAAAAACGAACAAGAGTGTTTTTGAGTGATAAAATTCATCCACATGTTATTGAAGTTGTTAGAACAAGAGCAGCGTAAGTTGTATTTTTAATATCAATCGTATGATATGTCAAATTTTTTATGTTATATCTACAGTAAACTACATAATCTACTGACGAAGCGTCTAGAGTACATGAATGTTTTGTAAAATGTATACATTACATTTCTAGTGGATTTGGTATAAATATTGAGGTGATGCCCGTTACAAATATGGATTTTTCGTCTAAAGATGTGGCCGGAGTTCTATTTCAATATCCTGATACAGATGGAAATATACTTGAATACACAGATTTGATAGCAAAAGCAAGAGAAAATCAAGTAATAAATTCAGATAAGTCCGTGACACATTTGTTTAACATATTTTTTAAATTTTTAGACTATGGTTATATGTGGATCAGATCTTCTAGCATTATGTCTATTGAAACCACCTGGAGAAATGGGTGTAGATATTTGTTATGGAAATAGTCAGCGTTTAGGCGTTCCATTGGGTTTTGGTGGACCACATGCTGCCTTTTTTTCATGTGCTGAACAATATAAAAGAGATATGCCAGGAAGAATTGTTGGTCAATCAATGTAAGTGAAGTACAGTAGGTCTGTATTTTCAATAATCAAACGAAATTTGTTCTGTTAATAGTGATTCTCATGGTGCTAAAGCGTTTCGTTTGGCATTACAAACTCGAGAACAACATATAAGACAAGAAAGAGCCACAAGCAATATATGTACAGGTACGCAAATATTTGGTATATATTATATTCATATATTAGTAATTTTATCCTATTTTTTCATCTAGCTCAAGCTTTACTAGCCAATATGGTAGCAATGTATTGTTTATATCATGGAAAACAGGGTTTGAGAAACATTGCATTGAAAATTCATCAATTAACTGCAGATCTTGCACACAGTATGTAATTTATATTTCTAATCATATACAAAAATGACATCCTTGTTTTGATTAACATACATAGGTTTACGCTCATTTGGATATAAAATTGAAAATGATTTATATTTTGATACGTTAAAAATTACACCAAAATCAGCTCAAATCAAAGAAATTCAAAAGCGAGCAAATAAAAAACAAATTAATCTTAGATACTTTCAAGATGGAACAGTATGTAATCTGTTTTACAGTCTATCAATGAACAATTTGACTTTTTTTTCTTCTTCTGTAGATTGGTGTCTCGCTTGATGAAACTGTAAATGAAGACGATATACTTGATTTAGAATGGATATTTAATACACAAAACAAGAAGACAGAAAGTGTATGTCATTTTTGTAACATGTTCAAATTCGATAGTATTTTAATTATTTTTCTGTAATTTAAGAGTCAACAATCAAATTCAAAATTGTCATTTGGAAATCTGGCACGTGAAAGTAACTTTCTCATACATGATGTATTCAACAGGTAATTATTTAATGTAGACACAGTTATTATATATACTTAATTCTTTATTTCTATTGTTAAACTTTACAGATATCGTTCAGAAACAAAATTAATGCGTTATATGAAACATTTAGAAAATAAAGATATTTCACTTGTACATTCAATGATACCATTGGGCTCATGTACAATGAAATTAAATGCGGCAGCCGAATTAACTGTAAGTAATATTTTTTTTTTTATATCTTCTAAAAAATAAACTTGCCTTATGTCCATTTGAAGCCTGTATCATGGGCTGGTTTTAATAAAATTCATCCATTTGTACCAAAAGAACAATGGAGAGGTTATGAACGATTATTAAAAGATCTTGAACATTATTTGTGTGAAATAACAGGTTACGATAAAATTTCATTTCAACCAAACAGGTAAACCAGTGGTTTGAATGTAAAAACTGATATTTGATTCAATTTTTTCATTGGCGATAGTGGTGCACAAGGTGAATATGCTGGCTTAAGAGTTATTCGAGCTTATCACGAACATCGTGGAACGCCAGAAAGAAATGTAAAAACTCTTTTCTTGTTGCTCGAAAGTAATCATTGAATTAATACATTTTTAAACAAAAAAAAAAAGGTATGTCTAATTCCAATTTCGGCTCATGGTACAAATTTTGCATCAGCAGCAATGTGTGGAATGAAAATAGAAAAAATTCTATTGGATAAACAAGGTGGCATTGATATGAAAAATGTAGCAGATTTGGCTGGAAAACATAAGGAAACATTAGCAGCTGGTATTGTTACTTATCCATCAACTAGTGGAGTATTCGAAGAAACAATCAAGTGTGTAAGAGTCTTTTCGTTTTAGTTCATAAACTACAACTCACATCCTTTCTACTTCAAATAGAGAATTTTGTGATATTATTCATCATAATGGTGGACAAGTTTATCTTGATGGTGCAAACATGAATGCACAGGTAGATTTTCAACTATTATCAACAATTTTTTAATTCAGTGTAATAAAAAAATCAATTTTTTCAGGTTGGTTTATGCCGACCGGGTGATTATGGATCGGATGTATCGCATTTAAATCTTCATAAAACGTAAGAAATTGACAACTTTTGAAAAATAGTACAATCTACGTTACTTTGAAGAAAAAATTTATATCGTTAATGAAAATGAAGGTGAAAATTTTTATCTTTTAGATTTTGTATTCCACACGGTGGTGGAGGGCCGGGTATGGGACCAATTGGAGTGTAAGAATGAAAGATTTTTCAGCTTGTTTACACGATATTTTTGATCGCTTCAATATTTGTATCTTTAGAAAGAAACATTTGTCACCATTTTTGCCTGGTCATCCATTGTTAGATGATTTAAACAATTTAAAACCATTTGGCACAATCAGTTCAGCTCCGGTACATTGTCTTAACACGATCTGATAAAGTGACTATATGTGTTTTCTGTTTAAATTCAGTTTGGTTCTACTTCTATTTTACCAATATCTTGGATGTATATTCGAATGATGGGTGCTGGTGGCCTTCGCCGTGCAACACAAACAGCTATTTTAAATGCAAATTATATGTTAAAAAGATTAGAATCATCTTATAAAGTATTGTTCAAAGGATCATCAGGTATAGAATTTGAGAGAGGAAGAAAGCGATGTATTTGGCATTGATTTCTTGTTGTTGTTTTTCCAGGATTTGTTGCTCATGAGTTTATAATTGATGTTGGCCATTTTAAACAATCAGCAAATGTTGAAGCAGTTGATATTGCTAAACGACTACAAGATTATGGTTAGCACATTGAAAACTATTGATCTCCTATTGATAATTTATTTGTCTATTAGGTTTTCATTCTCCTACTGTTTCATGGCCCGTAGCCGGTTCGTTGATGATTGAACCAACCGAATCCGAAGATAAAGATGAATTAGATCGATTTTGTGATTCGTTAATCGGTAAATATTTGTATTTCATCTCCTCACACATTTTTTTTGTATGTCAAATTTTTTGCTTTTAGAAATTCGAAAAGAGATCAGCGATATTGAAGCTGGTAAGTATGATAGAAAGAATAATCCATTGAAAAATGCTCCACATTCTCAACATATATTTTTACATGAAAAATGGACATTACCGTATCCATTGCAAAAAGCCGTGTTTCCAATTGTAAGTAAAACTGTACACATCTAAAGAATGTGTTTCTAAAATAATTATTATTTGTCTAGAAATTTGTATCACCCAATTATAAATTTTGGCCATCTTGTGGAAGAGTAAATGATGTTTATGGTGATAAAAATTTAAAATGTCGATTAGAGTAGTCTCCCGCTCAACTTATTTTGATGCTGTCTTTCATTTTATTAAAGCCACATTGATCGATTATTTTTTATTGTAAATAGTTTTATTTGATTTTTCCTTCAAATAAATTTTCATATATATCCGTAATATACACACGAGTGGGTTACTAATATGAGAGTCATTATTAAATGCGAATGTGGCATTTTCTAATTCTAAGACAACGATGTACTGCATTGAAACGTTTTATTGTAGCTTAAGAGTAGATCTTTTGCATTGCTATTATATCTCTTTTATGAAGATTCCGACTTTTATTCACCAAAATAAAAATCTAAGTTAGTATGTACAATTTGGTTTGCTAGTCTTTTGCACAAACAAGAAGAAGAAAAGTGAGAAAAGTTAGTGATATTCAGTTTTTCTACAATGATATTTAAATTACCCATCGACATATTGTTGTGAACGATTACCTATACTATATATTATTTTTTCATTTATCCCGTAGAATTTTATGTAACTTTGGACAGTTTTTTGATTGAGCAAATATATTATTTTGAAGACGTGTAGTGTGAAACAACTAATGCTGCCCAAAGGCTATGTATTTAAGGCTATGTTATCAAAGAGATTTGAACGTGTACCACAAAAAAATCAAACAGACTTAGCAGATTTAGACTGCATTAATTTCAGGAGATACTTATCTGCCGAAGATCTAGAAGGTAGATACGAGACAGTGTATGTCAGCATCTCCTGCGATTTCTAGATATTTTGGATAAGTGATGGCATCACTTATTCCAATTGCTATTCAGTTTTGGGTAACACGTTATAATAGTTTGAAAATTTATGAAATACGAGCTCTGCAGGATACTTTTACATCTTGAAAACTTGGCATCGGAAAAGAGATATTGTAACTTAGCAGTGTGACATATTGATATTCAAATTACAAACTGTAAAATTACTCGCCGATGATGTTGTTGTTGCAGTATAAGTATTGGGATTTGACGCTAGTCAAATATAAGAGTGGCTGATGTTTTCCATCAGTTAGCGTTCACTCCTCATTCATACTAATGGTTGCACTTGAAGTAGAAAGTGTTGCTGGCGAAACAGTAATAAGGTTGGAATTAGTATGAACAAAAATGAAATTGCCGCATTGAACATACGGCAATTACAGTGATTACTAGCTGTTGTACTGCGTGTAATCTTGGCAGTAAAGTTTAAGAAAGATAACATATCAAAAGACATGTTTTTGCCGTAACGCGATTCACAGCTATGTTTTGATGAAACAGTCTCCAGAAGAATTTTTCTAATTTTATTAATAATATTCGCTCCCAGAGATTTGTTTGAGTGAAGAAGAATACGACAAATATTTAACTGAAAGGATAATCTTTAACAATACCATAGTATCTATATATTTTCTACAGAGAAAAGAAATAGAATAAGTCAACAGCAGAAAATCAATAAAACATATTATTTAGAAGTTTAAAATTTTGTTATTATTTCAATGTGTAATGAGAAAGAGTGTGCAATAATTGAACACATCATTCAGAAAACACTATCTAACAGTGCACACGCATAATTGGTTTAATTTCACGATATCTCAGTCAGCCTGTTTTTCATTGAGTTATTTGAACTATGAGTAATTATTTGCATTTATCCTAGAACAATTATACCACTAAATTGTGCGGATTATTTGGAACTTTTTAATGTAGTTGAAACTCTTCTTTTACACAAATATATACAAGCAAACAAATACAAATCAAGGGATGAAAAACGTTTGTCATTCATCTTCGTCATCTTCATCATCATTTTTAATTTCTTCATCATCTTCATCGATTTCATCATCTTGCTCATCTAAAAAAAATAATCCAAGCTACGGTACATTATTGTAAGAAAACAAGATGACAAATAAAGAGGAATGAGAAGAAAAAAACATCGATTGCTAATAAAAACAAAGATGATATAAGAAAGTAGGACGTACCTTGATTATCATTTTCTTGTGTCTCGTCTGGTTGTTCATCATCGTCATTTTCACTTGTTTTTCCACTGTTTTTCTTTCGAATTGGTGATGATTCTTGTTCAATTTCGTCGTCAACCATTTCCTCTTCATGCTCTTCGTTATCTAAATAAAGACGATGATCGAATTTTAGTTAGGTAGAAAAGATTTCAGTTAGAACTCAGATATGTATAGTCTACTGTTTCCAAAATGGGCTTGCTTTTCAATTATAAAGTAAATAGATATAGATTAGCATTATAAACTTTGAGACATGGATCTTGTTTACACTCATTATTTGCCTAGAATGATATAAAAAAGAAGTACACTTACCAATTAGTTCTTCTTCTTCCTCTTCATCAAGTGCATGCTCGTCATTATCCAGCGCTTTCAATCGTTTTTTCTGTTGTTTTAATTCATTTTCTTGAAATGGTCGGTAACGTTGTAATAAACGCAAATTCGATGTTTTTGGCGCGCCCATTAGTCGCCGTTTACTTAAACGTACGCGTGTTTCCAATTCATTATAATAAACACCGTCATCTTTAATAACGAGAAAATAATTTTCTTCATAACCACTCATCGATTTATCTTTTCGATTCCAATTATATTCACGAATCAATTTAAAATCATATGTTGTTGCCTCAGTTTGATTATCATCATCTTCAACAAATTGACGTTTACGGCGAGTTTCCTCAGTGGGCAGAAAATAGCCAATATATTCTTTATTTTCATTATCAACTAATGCTCTAAAAACAAACAGAAAAGAAACATAATCTTTCTGAAAATAGATCGTTACAGGTTTAATCAGAGGATGAGTTTCACTATTCTATGTTTGGCTAGAATACTTATAGATGCTAACTGAACTCTGTCAAAGTAAACCCGTTCAACTATCGAAAACTTTCATCAATTTTTAGACATTATTTTAGACTACGTCTTAAAGCATACTTGATAACAGCTTGTGACATCTCTTCAACTTGTTCTTGAGGGTTGTTAACATCTTTTCGTGATGGATCACCGTCAAATATAACTTGTGCACATGGATAACGCCATAGATCAAAATCTGGGAATACTGGCCATTCTTCTACTTTAACCACACTCGGTTTACTATAATGTTTTTCAATTGGATTCTTGACCACATCAAAACCTTCTTCAATCATATGTATAATACCATCTTTTGTTAATAATTTCAATGAATCCTCACGCACTTTTTCTTTTACTGAGCTTGAACGATTTTCAGCTTTATCAAATTTTAATGATGCACGACTTTGTTCAGTAGAAATATATTCGGTTTTTCTCAACCATGGTACACTACGCTGATTTAATTGTGATCGTTTTGTATTTGCTGGACTAACATTATCTTCTTCTAGTAACTTTTCATCATCGGCATGCAATACTCCAGTACTTGTTGAAGCGTAAGCATCCGGATTAATTAAATCAATTTCCACACCAACATCATGTTCAGTTAGCAGCTCCCAACGATAATTTTTTTCTAATGAAGTTGGCTTATATCGGACGAATCTAAATGAGAAGAAAAATCACCTTAAGCATTCCACTGATATTGTATGCGAGAGGGACAGAGGAATAATACACACCTATCGGGATTAAATGGATAACGAAGAAATTTTGGGTCAAATGGTAAATCGGGTAAGACGTTTGTATAGCGTACACGACAAACAAGGTCGGATCGACGATCGTGCTTTTTACTTTCACGTTCTAAACGATTACCATGTTGGCCCGATGATGTTGTGGTAACATGAACAGGTGCCATATTGTAGATGCTTTTTAGCACATTTATCTAAAACATGTATTAAAGAGGATAGATTATGACAGCACTGATATTTCCGAGAAAATAGATTTGCTTGTATAGTTTTATTGATCCTAAGTTCAATCGCTAATGTTCTCTTCTCTTATACCTCTGCTTACTGCAGTCTTCTTTATACAAAAGATTTCTGATCAACATTCGAAAAAAACGAAATTGAATTATTTTTGTAAATTTAGATGAATACTTATTGTGTATTTGAAAAAAGGATCCAATCCTATTTGTCCCGTCCACAAAACGCTAATAATAAATAAAAATCTTCGATTAATAAGATCAAACGAGATGGATGATATTTTACTATTACTAGTTTGTTACTTTATTCTGTAAATAAATACGTATATGCAACTTCTTAATTCTCAGACACAACTTCTCCTTGTTACTTTTGTTCAAGTAACAAATAAAATTACCTATTTCTAGTAAAGTAAAAGTAATATGATATTTACGATACAGAACCGCAGCAATATACTATTAGGAGGACTTTAAAATCTCCTTTCTCAAATGAAGTTGTCCCTTTTTTACTACAATAATAGAAGACTGATCAAAATTGATATTGGGTGTATAAAACTATTCATCTAAGCTTTTTGCTCTTTTTTTTCTTCACAACTATTCCTTTTCTATTTGTTGTTTAAGTATTATTTATGGACAAATCATTTATAAACAAGAGAAGGAAATAAGAAGGGTCTGTTTTCACTCAACAAACGAAAAAGAAGGAAAAATAACACACTCACCGAAAAAAAAACAGTATGACTTAAACAACAGCAAAGAAAGATCTCTCAATCAAAGACAAACATATTTTTCTCATTTTTCAACTTCATCTTTATATACATGTACATATTACTACACCAACACTAATATGCATCAAAAACTAAGCGGTAACAGATAAGGCACACATATGGTTAATCTAACTAAATCAATCACCTTAGAAACAACAAAAACAAAAAATATACAAAAAGAAACACATTTCGAGAATAGTCTACGAAAAACAATTATAGTTTCTCGTAAGCTGTTTTACCAGAGATGAAGAACTGGACGGTTCTGGGGATTTTGATTGTCAGATCGAAGTAAAATGAAGATGAAACCAAAAACTTGTTTTAAGTACTGACCGATCATCTCTAGAATTTGTCGTCAAACGTAACAGCAAATGAACTAACGCTGTTTTACATAAAAAAAAACAACGTTATTTGAAGGCGTGAGAAAAGTTGTTTACTAATTCATTTTTCCGATGGGCGAGAACAACAGAACAAGTTGAGAAAAAACAACAACATATGACCTAGAAATAAGTATTTTTCACAGGCTACTTAGAAAATAGACTAGTGTGTGTGTTCTCAAATGATGTAAACATCTATACAATTTATACAAATATAGTCTGAATAGGATTGAGAAAACAGAAGCAAAAAAATAACGGTATGATCTCAAGTTTCAACAAAACAAAAATAAAAGCAACAACAATAATCTGATAACAGAACGTTTTTTAAATTACAAAGTAAAATATGAATTCTTTATGTATGTGAGTTTTGGTTTTTCTCTTTTACTGTACACCTGCCGTTGATGTACCCTGATTAATGCTGGAATTATTTTCATTCATATCTGATGGATTTATCCACGTTAGACGTTCTTCATAAAATCGAATAACAATTTGTGGACAACGTGTATTACATATACGTGCAGGAACTAAATCTGCTTCACCAGTACCTTTCCATTGCATTAATAGCATTAATTCTCCACAAGCATCAGTTGCACCCAAGATTTTTTCTAAAAATAGAAAATAAAATAGAAGGTTAGTAGTTATTCTAAGAGTTAACGTTACATCAAAATATGTTACTCAGCATTCAGTATATTCTTTTGAAACAAGTGAAGTGTCGCTTACTGTACGTAATTGATTGTATTTATAGGAAGTTTTACCTGGTTCAAGTCCTCGATCGAATGCACTCGCTAATGTTTCATCATTGGTTCCTTGTAGCGATGTAATCGATGTTTTACCAATTCGAGAATTATTGTTGTTATCATTCCTTAGCCGTTTCCCACTTGATGTACTGCCGTATGTTGGTAAACTATGATTACTTGAATCATCTGATGATTTACGTTTTAGCGATAATTGATGATCATGTTGTTGTAATACATTAATGCCGCTTGAATAACGCCCCTTTTGAGCAGCACGATTTTCATAATCCGAAATTAAATCTGGACAATCCAGATTTGTCTCAGGTTCCTAATTAGACATAAAAAAGTGGTTGTCAGTGTTTGCGAAAATGAGATAGTCTCCTTAAGACTACATACAAAAGCAGACCCTTATTTCGTGGAAAGGAATCATTTTTCTACCGAAACAAGGCTACTTCTTCGAAAAACAGTAACATTTTCTGTCAACAGTCACGTAGTTAGGATCTGACACTTATCTTTACATATTTCATCAAATATATTATATTATATATCTTTACACATATCTTTACATATATCAAAGTTAATCTTACCCAGGTATTTTCAGTTTCTGAAAACCCTTTCCATTTGAGAAAATACTCAATTCGGCCATTTCGGACGCGACGATCAACAATTTTTTCAACAATAAATTCTTCTTCGCCCAAATTTTCTTCCAAATCATCGTCTAAATGATGTTTACCGTTATTTCCCACCATGTTTATTATCACAAGCAAAAGTTAACTTCAGTGAACAGAGGTAGATAGTGATAAATTAGAAAACTAATAATTTTATCTAAAACAAAGAGACTAGCACTGATATTCATGATTGCACTAAAGAGCTCAAGCGTTCAAACTAGCAAGTGGCTGTGTACACTAAAGCGAGAGTATCTAAAAATTGTGACATGATTTTCGCTTCAATTGTAAATTTTAACTATAAAACTTCCAGTGTGTGTGGAAAAAACCATCATGAAAATTACTGCTACAATAATTCTTTCTATTCTCGTCAAGATAAGCTATCGATAAAATTTACAATGAAATTCAATGACAGATTAACCCTTCAGGCAAAATGACAGATTAGCCAATCCCAAACGACTTTATATCTTTGCTTGATTTTTTCATACAAGAACTGGATCTGAGAATATTCAAGAATTTTGTTTTCTAAGAATCACTTGAGACATATACCAGTTCCGTGTTTTTCTATTCTTCTGGTATTTCCAGTCTGTGCGTAGACTACACGACATCTAGTTTCTGACAAGAAAAAAATGGTGAAAGGCATCAATATAGTTTAATGACTGTGCTAGGACTGAAAGCTAGGCCTACGTCTCTAGTATCATCGTGAGCTTACGTTGATTGTGGCAATTTTGGCCTATTTTTTCAGTCCTAGCGTATCTTTTGACCGATCTATCTTGAAGTCAAGATACACTAACCTTTCATTAAGTGCTAGTATCAATGTGATTTTTTCTTTCTTTCTTCCTTTTTTCATTGGATTTCAATCCAGCTTTTCTCTACCAATAGATAGGTCTCATCCAAGGCTTCGGAGAACGGTACATATTCGAGCTTTTTGTATTTTATGACCTGAAAAAGCTATAAAAAGTTTTTGAAGCTGTTCGAAGTTTCACTTAAGTCCGAGTTATTATCTCTGGATTAGATTTTGACTTAAATATCATTCTAACGACGAACTAAAGCTGATTGGTCAAATGACTCATCTTAGCGAAAAAAACACCTATAACACTGCAAATTTAGTAAGCTACTGCAACAGCTTAAAGTCAGCCATTAATCCGGTCATTTCATAAAGCCGGAGCAATGGCTGAGTTCCACTGCCGAATCGTTATCTAGTAAGCCATCCAAATGACAT